TCTCAAAAAAAAAAAAAAAAAAAAAAATTTGTTCCCTCATTAGGCCATTCTCTTCAACATATCCATTGAAGTATTTTGTTGTTTTGAGATGGAGTCTCTTTCTGTTTCTTTCGGTAGAGAGCTGTGGCGTCTTAGCTCACAGCAGCCTCAAACTCTTGGGCTTGAGTGATCCTCTTGCCTCAGCCTCCCAACTAGCTGGAATTCCATAGCCCGCCATGATGCCCAGCTAGTTTTTTTCTATTTTGGTAGAGACAGGGTCTCAACTCTTGCTCTGGTGTTGCACTCCTGAGCTTAAGCAATCCACCTGCCTCAGTCTTCCAGAGTGCTAGGATTACAGGCATGAACCCCCATGCCCGGCTTCCATTGAGTCTTTAATTTCAGTAACTGTATTTTTCATTTATGTACTTTCTATTTGGTTATTTTTCAGATTCAGTGTTCTTTTGTAAAATATTTGGACATTGCCTAATATTTTCTATTTTTGCTTTTGTAAAAAATAAAATGCTAATTTAAAAATCTTTTTTAGATTTTTATATTATCTCTAGTTCTCAAGAGTACGCATTTTCCTTTCTCACATCTGCTGATTCTCTTTTGCTCCTAAGGGAGTCCCGTGTGCTCTAGATGAGTAAATGTCCTTATAGGATGGTTTTGAATTTACCTTCACTAGCTTCAAATTTCCATTGGTTCCAGACCAGCTTTCTTCCATATTAAAGTTTTGGCATAGTATGTCTGTACCATCTGGATAAATGTATTTGAACTTCACTTCTATGTGTTCTCATTGCTCATAAGAGAATCTTTTCTACCCATGGCTCTAGCTTCATTTCTGTTCACCTAAGATTATGGGTAGAATTTTTGTAGTCTGTGTTTCACAGGTGTAGCCTTTCATGACGCCTATGTGCATCAGCTTCTAGCTTTTAAACTATTTTGGCTTCTGTTCCTGTTTACTACTCTGACTTTGAATTGCTGCTTTATTCTTAGTACCAGAGCATTTCACTTGCCTGAGTTTGTGCTTAGCAATATTTCCTTTATTGCATTTCTGTGGATTTAGCAAACAATAGTGTTCTCAGTCATCTGAGCCTACTATAAACTTCTATTTAAGTCCTCATGATTCTTGCTAGGGAAATTTAAAAAATCAGGTAATGGCATCTTAAAATGTAACTTTAAGTCT